GGTCTCGGCCACCACGAATCCCCGACCCACACTAGGCCCCAGCTCCGGCCCACGCCAGGCCCCGGCCCCGGCCCACACCGGGCCCCAGCCCCGGCCCCCGGGTGAGGAGTAGGGGAGCAGGCCGACACCCCCTCCATTACCAGCTCCCTGACCCCACCTTCTCGCCAGGTACAGCGACCGAGCCCAACCGCACCATTTCTCCTCCTAAAGCCTCCGCTTGAAGCTTAATCTGTAGGGAAATAACCGGAAAGAAATGGGCAGCGATTTCAGACCTCCGTCGAAGGGACACTCACAAACATACCCGCTCCAAATGCTCACGGCACTCGGAAAGGTAACAGTAACCATGCTTTCAGCGATGCACCTATTTTCATTTAGTGCTCTGAAACCTTAAGCTGTTAAACTACCTCTCTCTAGATCTGGTTTTGACTTCAGCTTTAAGTATCTCTAAACAAAGCTTGGGCTGGTTTATTTTGTTCCATTTTTTTGTGACTTAGTATCTATTAAATACCAACAGGAACAAGCGTGTCTGGTCTATTTAACTTGCACAAAACTATTACCAAGCTGGGCTGGCTGGAGAACAAGAATTCAGTTTCAAGGAGGGGGGATAGAAGCTTTGCAATTTGTTTTTGCACTATGTTGGAACAAAATTCATCCCTTCAGACATTTTTCTGAGAGGAGACAGACTCACCTCCCGCCTTGGAACAGCTTAGTGGTTAGTGTACTCATCTGGGATGTGGGACACCAGAGTTCAAGTCCTTCCCTTCTCTGATTCAGAGCGCTAATCCCTGGACTGTTGACTTCTCTCAGTTCTAGCCCAGACTTAAAAACCTTTCCAATGCCATTTGTGATGAATTGATATTTTCCAACGGGTGAAAAATGAATGTTTAGTTAAGGAAAAATTCCCATCTAACAGTTAGGCTGAGCAGCCTGGGATTTTTGATTAAACAAGGAGAAGCCCGGACTGCCATCATACAACAATGGAAGGGAATTGCAAGTTGTGAAAAGAAGTGGTGTGCTGGGAAGAAGTCCTCCTTTGGTGACACATGGAGTTAGTGATCTTAAGACTTATTTTCTTTAACTTTAGGTTTGCAGATTATTTTGAAAAGAAGGAGGATTCTGTTCTTCCCCACGGGCACACGGGGCTAGTATGGTTAAGGTATGCTTTCCTTAGGTATAGTTTTGTTTGCTATTTTTCTATTTCTGTAGCAAATGGAACACAGGGGAAAGTTGCACTTTGTATCATAGCTCGACTCATTTGACTTCCCAGCTCAGAAGATGGGCTGCCTTTCCACACCTGGGCTGATGGAAATAACTTGTTTGTGTGAAGCTTGAAGTCATGCCTGTGAATCTGGACAAGGTGCTTTAACATGCTCTACCATGAGCATAGCCTTTATTTACTAGACTTTCTTAACGATGTATCTTTGTGTTACGCATTTTGGTTTTATTAATCTAATTCTTCTTGGTAATCTCCAGTCTGCCTTCCCGGAACTTTGCTGCTTCTTGGTGTTTGTTTTAAAATCTAGATGGATGATGGGAACTGTTGAGTGCATCCTCTGCTTTGACTCAGACATGCTTTGCTCCTTTGTTTGCTCCTATACAAGTCAAATGAGCCTGCATTCTCTCCTTTCATACCACTGTCTGTTTTCATATCCCTAATTCCCATCGGAACAAGCAACATCTTTAAACTTTTCCCAGTAGTCATGGAATCTGGTCCAGCTCTCATTGAAGCCAAACTGATTCTCTTCATTCACTTTATCTGGATGGTGGTCAGCACCTAACATGACTATCCCTCCTCCAAATTTGGAATGTTCTTCGATCTTGCAGTGTGGTTAATTTTTCAGACATGTTGTCCCATAGGGTGTGAAGCCTAAGCTGTAATAAGCGAAGTAGTATGACCACCTGACTTGCTTTAAACAGTCCACGCATAGTGAAATGTAGCCCGTGGAGTTGCCCATAATCAGCCTGGACAGCAGGGGATGTGAGCAAGCACATTTCTAGAGGAGTTTCAATTAACCCTTGCAGGTTAGGGTTCTAAATTTACTAGCTTATCAAATGTGAAATTCAATTAACCTGAAGAAATAAATAAGGATCAACTATAAAACATATATTAGCTGTTATTTGTTTATCTCAAGATGATTAAACAGTTTCTTATATCACTCTAACACTTTGTATTACACTGAGATTAAGTTAATTGCTCCTCCATCTCCAGATTTCATCTCTCTTAATAACAGAAACAATTCTCTGTGTGTTTGGTTTGACCAATCAGTGGTACTCTCTAAA